AGAATATCTGGAAGTGAGTTCAGAGAGGTGCTGGGGCCTGGGGGGAGCAGAAAGATTAGCCTTGGAAGTGCTGGAATGGAATTGGCTTTTACCCTGAGTGCGATGGGGAGCCAGTCAAGTATTTTCAGCAGAGGCGGGGCATGATTTGTCTTATATTTTAACAGTATCACTGGCAACTCTGGAAAGTGATTTGTATGGAGTGCAAGGATGAAAAAGCAAGGTCAAGTATGTCAGTGAATCAGAGGAGAGACCTAGAAACAGATCTGCAAATACTAGTAGAAAACTGGATCATAATTGAAGCGAAATTTTAGATGAATGAGAAAAGACATTTTATTCAATATGTAGTGCTGGATTAATCTGTTTGATTTTCTTAGGGCAAAAAGAAACTTAAGCCCCTTCATCACACTTTACACACAAAATAAATCGCAAGTGGAAAAATGGTTAATACCTAAATTGGGTAAGTAACATTTATAGAATGTTTAGAATCAAAAGGAACAGAATGTTTATATTTTGACTGTGAAAATAGGGAAGATTTTGTTTAAAGGCAAAAAATCCACAAATATTAAGGGGAAAGTTAGATATATTTGAATATATTAAAATATGAAAACCTCTAATTTCAAAATCATCATAGAAATAGTGATATTAGGCTCCAACTTCAGTATTTAGAATTATGAAATAAAAAAGTGTATGTATTCTATGAGAAAAAAGAAACAGTCCATAGAAAACTTGGCAAAAACATGAATAGGCAATTCACGATAGATCCATGGTTAGTAAACATTCATGGCCTTAATATACTCCCTAAGACCTTAGTATGTCTTCATAACATATAAAAGCTAACATACCATATAATTTACTTGGTTATATGTTTATTGTTTTCCTCTGAGAATGTAATCCTCAAAGGTGCATATTTTTTCTTCTTTCACACCAATGTATCTCAAGCCCTTAGAAGAATATCTGGCTTATAAGTATTTGTTGACGATATGAATCTCATTGGTAAGTAAGACGACGGAAATGGAAGTAAATAAAATAATGTCACACATATCAGAGCAGGAACACATGTGAGGTTTGAAAATATGTATTGATGCCCTGGCCAGTTTGGCTCAGTTGGATAGAGCATTGGCCCACGGACCAAAGATTCATGGGTTTGATTCTTGGTCAAGGGCACAAACCTTGGTTGCAGATTCAACCCCCAGCCCTGACCAGGGCATGTGCAGGAGGCAGCCAATCTATGTGTCTCTCTCATGTCAGTGTTTTTTTTTTTTTCTCTCTCTCTCTCTTTCCCCCTCCTCCCTCCCTTTCACTGTGTCTGAAAACCAATAGAAAAAATATCCTAGGGTGAGGATTAAAAAAAAAAAAGAAGAAAAGATGTATTGCCAAGTTAAACAAGGGGGAGACTCTATACACCAAGCATGTCAAACTCAAAGGCTAACACGGGCCAAATAAACAAGGTTTAAGTTTATGTGG